CGACAGGGACTAGCAGTGCTGCTGCTAATGGCAGCAGGGGCCTGCTACGCAGCTGGTGGCCTCCAAGACCCCCGGATCACCTATCCTGGGCCCCCTGCAGTAGCTGCTGCTGCCCCTATGCCCCTGCACATCACCCCACTGGGACTGTTGCTCCTCATCCTTTATTGCCTCATCTCAGGCTTGTCATCTGTGTACACAGAGATGCTCATGAAACGCCAACGGCTACCACTGGCACTTCAGAACCTCTTCCTCTATACTTTCAGTGTGCTCCTGAATCTAGGTCTGCATGCAGGCAGTGGACCTGGCCCTGGCCTCCTGGAGGGTTTCTCAGGCTGGGCAGCACTCATGGTGCTGAGCCAAGCACTCAATGGACTGCTCATGTCAGCTGTCATGAAGCATGGCAGCAGCATCACGCGCCTCTTTGTTGTGTCCTGCTCACTGGTGGTCAACGCTGTGCTCTCAGCAGCCCTGCTGCAACTGCAGCTCACAGCCGCCTTCTTCCTGGCCACACTGCTCATTGGCCTGGCTGTGCGTCTCTACTATGGCCGTTAGCCCTAACCATCTCCATCCTGGCTACTGACCCTGAAGGTTGGGTATCACCATCAGAGCAACCTCCCAACCCTCTTCTCCCCTTTGCAGCCCTGTCACAAGTGCCTTGTGAGAAAAGCTGGGGAAGTGGGAGCAGCCAGGACAGTCTCTAGAGGTGGGTATATAAAGGAAAAACTACTAGAAGGTTTATAACGGGTGTTTAGCTATGGGAACAGCAAACACAGACTCCAAAGTTCTTCCATACTAGGCATTTAGGGAAACATCAGTATCTAGGCCTAAAAAAAAGACCCCATTCTTGCCTGGTCAAAGAGGATTCCTGTCTCATGCTCTGTCATTAAGGGAGCTGTGGGAAGCAGGTGGCATTCCTTACCCTCTGTGGTCACCTTGGTAGGCATAGAGCCTGATGCTGGATCTTCCAGCCCAGCTGTTGTACATGACTTCCCTACGGGAGAGACTCTCCCCAGACGTCTTGGGGGAAGACTCAGTTGCCACCAATTCTACATCATTCACCCAGGCCACTGCCATCTCCTCCAGCAGCACCTGGATGACCTACCCCTGCTCCCCCACCCCCACCCCACAGTGCTGCTTCCCCCACCCAGCCTTTATTCCTGGAAACCCCAGAGAGGGATGGGGTTTGTCTCATCTCAGGGAATGTTGCCCCTGGACCCTGGCTTAAAACTACACTCCTGGCCTCTGCTCACCCCCAGGGCCATCTCAAAGCCCACTACCCCCTCTCAGGCTCTGATGAGGTGCCATCTTTCCCACACAGGGTCCTGCCTCTGCCTAGCAGTGTTCCAGTTCCCACGAGTTGGAAAGTTCTGCAGATTAATGTGGGTTCAAGCACAGGGAAACTCCAGTAGCTCAATCAGTGTCTCTTTAACTGCATAAGCAATAAGGTCTTAATAAAGTATTTTGGGGTATATGGTGGTTCCTAAATAAAAAAAAAATTCACCAGGTGCTTTGCTAGAGGATGGGCAACCTCCTCCCGTGCTATTTACTGGCTCTGACAACCAGTTGGAGGGTCAACCGTAAGCTGGTAGCTTAGTGGTAAGGAGTTGTGCTGTCAACCTAACACAACATGTCACAGGTTGTGAATCCACCAGCTGCTCCCTGGGAGAAGGGTGAGCAGTCTCCTCCCGTGCAATTACCTGTCTCTGAGAACCTGCTGGAGAGTCAGCTACGAAGTCACTTCAGACTCAGTGGTAAACAACATACGTACTTACGTGTGCACACACACATATATCACGAATCCATACGCAGCTATGGCCACAGACAATTGCAAACTACAAAATACTTATCTCTATCTTTTAAATATGCAACTTTCAACTTATGAAGTGCCGAGAAAATACATTTTTTTATCTGCTTCCAGTTCCACATTTGGGCTGTGAAAGCTGTAGTTTAAAAAACCTTTAGGTAAATATTTGAAATATTCTAAAACTGACATTCTGAATGATATTCTGATACCACTTCAATAATGTTTTATAAAATGCAGAGGAAAAACAGAATTAAGTAAATTTGAACTTTCCCTTTTCTGAGGCAGTTAAAGGCCGCACTATTTGCATATTCTAATGAGGGATCACTGTGGCTCAGGGACAGGGCTTCAGAGGAAACTTGTCCTGGGCAGGCCAGCAGAGCAGGCACCATTAACCTTGGCCTTTCGTCTAAGACAAAAACCAGAGTCTCTTCTTTTCAAAGTGGCTTCTGTGTAACCATCCCCATAGTCCAGGCTTTCCAGAACTGCCTTTGGAAGCACAATTAGAAGGTTTAAAAACCAGAGACACAAGCTCCATCCTATTTACACATTTAAAGTAAAGGTCATTCTCAGTAACTGGGCTTCCCAGATTTCTCCCCCTGAAATCCCTTAAGATATGTAATACCAACATAAAGGGAATCACAAATCCAGTTTTCAGAAAATGGCATTAAATATAGATTTAAACTTTGACCTTTAGTCCCCAGTGAGAGGACAAAAAATTCTCTTTACAGTAAAGGGCATGTTGCTAGTAAGCTTCAATGAGTAGGAGAGAACCTGCCTGGTTGTAGCCAGGATTAAGAAGCACCAATTGATTTACCTCCAATGCAGGTGTACTGCAAATCCACTGGGTCCGGCTGCAGCCCGTGATTGGGCCGGGCTCATCTATATTCCAGAGTTTGTAGAAGTAGCTTCTGGGAAAAGGGGGTCTTCTTGGCTTTGGGAATTGACATTTCCAGGGCAGCATTTGAAATGCATTCAGAGTAAGCAGGGATGAGAGCTGGAACACGCAGGGTCTCCCACTCCACATTAGTGTCATGAGCAGCAGTGGGAAACGCAGGGGTTGCTGAGTGGCGGACTGGGCAGATAGGGAAATCATGGAGACCCAGAGCACTCATACGTTTACATCCCTTATTACCCAGATTGCTCCGCAGGTGCTGACCAGAGCCGCGGGCTGATGACCCTCTGCAGCCGGCCTGCTATGTCACTGACTAGTTGATGATCGGGCTTCTGTAGGGGAGGGTATGGGTGGTGGAACTTATTGGCGAAAAGGAAGATCAGATATGTGCACACCTAGAGATGGAAGAAGAAATTATGCCTGGGTTTAGGGAGGGAAAGAGATAAACAGGGAGGAACCCTGAGCTAGAAGTTGGTTTGTTTGGGCCCCGAGGAGTTGGGTGACCTCAAAACCCCTAAGCACCATAATGATTCGCTTATTACCTTCGCTAGACTCTGACCTTTGAGATGTGAACTACTGAAACCACACTTTCCATTTACAGGTGTAGAAACTTGGGCTAAGAAATGGCAAGCCATTGGCCCAGAGTCACACAGCTACCTGGTAGCAGGGCAAGGATGTAAACAGAATCAGTCTGATGGCTAAACCCAGGTCTAAGTCTGTCCCTGGATTATTTTATTGCATTCGTTCAGGTGCGTACTGACAGTCTCTTTCTCCTTTGTCTTCTGTGTGGGGCCACTGGGGCGTCCTTGTTAGAATATGCTTTCTCCACTGCTTTCTTGCCTCTTAACCGGAGCCTTGTAATGAAGTAATTGGTTCATTAACAACTTTTTAGGGATGGGTGTATCATTTAACAGTAAAAGTAACTAAGAATAAGACACTATTAGTAGAGAATCAAGGAGGTTGTTTCATGCGATTGATGGAAGAATGAAAGGGGAATGAGAGGAGCACACTGTGGACTCGGTTCTACTAGGCTAAGGGTGAGGGTCTGAGACCCTGGCCAGAGATGGATGTGATCCAGAAGATACGAATCATGTCTTTCAATCTTTGGTGTTCTGGTCACCTTCATCTCCAAGTGGTGGAGTTCTGAGCAGTAGTCCTGGTTCTAAAAGGTAGAGGCGACAGAAAGATATGGCAATGAGGCAGGGAAGCAGAGCATCTATTATCGACTCTATTTACTGCCATCAAGTTGAAACCAACTGTTAGCTGATCCTTGAGCAGTTTCTGAGACTGTAAATTGCACGTGAATAGATTATCCATCTTTTTCCCACAGAGTGACTGGTGGATTTGCAAAACCAGAGTGTGTGGCCTTGGGGTTAGCTGTGTAACTCCAGACAGACTACCCTGCCAGAGCTCCCCAGATCATCAAAGGTATCTTCTAGTGAAATTCCTCTGGGAGTTGTTGAAATACCATCCTACGTGAATCCTACATGTCAAAGAGTGACTTTGTGGACCCTCTATACTATCAGGTACTGCTCAGGATAGAAGCTTCCCTCATAAGAGATTTCTCCCCCCCCCCCCCTTCTTGTACCCTTTCTCTGTTCTCCTTAAATATGCATCTCGGCAGCAGGTCCACCTTCAGGATCCTTTAGGACCCAGGGGTAATTGTGACTGATAGAGTAACTTGTTTTGTTTTAGAACTTGCTGGCAGATTCCTCTCCTACCATCAAAGCTCATCTAGTCCCTACCCTACTTCTTTGAAGCCAACTCATTGCCGTTGAGTTGGAACTGACCAGTAGCTAATTCTCCAGCAGGTTTTCAAATGCTGTAAATCACACAGGAGACTTTCATCTTCCTCCTCAGAGCAGATGGTGGATTTGAACCACTTGCCTTTGGGTTGGTAGCACAACTCCTTACTCAATAGGCCTTCAGTGCTCCCTCCTACCATCAAAACCCATCTCTTTCCTATTCTACTCCTTTAGTACTATTACACCAGATAACAACCACAGGTTATGCCTCTCTGGGGGTTCCAATCCACCAGAGACTCCAAGAGAGATGACTCCATAATCTCCTCCCTTGAGATTTATCATCTTAGAAAACCCAGTGCCAAGTTAGCCAGTTGATTTCAGCTGATGACAATGAGAAAGAGAGAACTCGAACTAAAATGTCAATACTTATTGTAAGTGATTGTGTCCCCTTCCCAAAACACATTTGTATCTTAACACTGGTCTTCAACACTTCATTCAAGGGAGTGAATAATGAGAAATTTCAGATGTGTCATAGAATCCCTATCAGTTAAGAAATGTGTTTGGCTGAGACAGCAAATGATCCTCTCACCACTTAAATAAGTAAAGATGTTTAATTGTTTCATGATTAGTAAGGGCCAGAAGGAAGTTTACTTGCCTGTCTAGGGCTCGGAGGATGGCCCTACCACATCACCATGCCCAGCCTGCCCCCTCTTTCTGCTTCATCTCCACAGCTGTGGGCTGTCTGGTATTGCTTAGGCATCACAACCATGAAAGAATAGAAGGCAGGCAGAAAACCAGAAAGGCACAGCTGTGAAGGGATCACACTCCCAAGAAGCTTCTGCCTGCATCTCATTGGTCAGAATAGGGTCATGGAGCCAAGCTGGGATCTAGGAAGGCTGGGGGCATTGTGTTGATCATTTTTAATTATTACATTGTAATGGTTGGGATTGTGGCTGTTGCTAGGTTCCACTGAGTCACTCCGACTCAGAGTGGACAACAGAATGTAACCTTTCCCAGGCCCACGTCATCTTCACAACCACAAACACTTCCTGTGTTTAGCTTATTGCCACAGTCACCATGCCATCGATCATACTGAGTGAGTCTTCCTCTC